TTCACTAGCTCTCCTCCAATTTTATCCCCATGTCCTTTGGCTTGTTTGCAGTGCGTCTTCACTGAGAGTTTACTGTCATTCTCACTCACCCCTCAGCCCAACTTTCATTTTCTAAACTATTTATATTCTCCACCATCTCTCCCTGTCAAGCGTTTCCTGATGCAACTGTCTTTTCCTGGCATTACTACATTTTAGCAAGAAAGCCCTACCAAGTCCACTACAGATTTCCATGTATTGCAGCAATACTAAATACACACCAAATGTGCATCCCTTTTCAGAGAAAAGATGACTCTTCAGAGACAGGGATGCACAATGATGTAAACAAACCAACAGCTGACTGAAGTGGTTATGATGCCAGAATTAACAGCTAAAGGGGTTTTTAGGCCATGAGTTCAGGCAGCCACAATACCCTGGGCCAGTCACCTAGTCCTTCTTTGGGCAAAAGATTCAATGGCATCGATTGCAGAACTGCATTTTATTTAAATACCAAGTAACACAAGTCTGCAAAAATAGTACGTATCACGGTCTACTACCAAAAAAAAAAATAAAATCAAAACACCAAGTTAGCTCACTTAACTTTAAATACCATGTGCAAAGAACATTTGATCAATACTACCTATAAATACACTACTTGTATTTGTAGAAAGAAGCACAGTGCTTCATATACAAAAATAACCCAACTTGCGGGTGTGACCTATAATTACCTGAAAATAAGATTGCAGGAGCAGTTAAAAAAATAGAAGTAGGCAAACATCTGCCTAGGGAGTGTTTCCATTTAGAAAAATAGGTTTTTATAAAGCTTCATAGATTTTGGAAATGTTTGGTTTGTGCTCTGATGCATAGAACTGTGAATAAAGCACACCGGTATCTCTATGTACACCGGGGAGAGGAGGAGGGTATTAGTAACATCAAGATATCCTAAAGCTCCCCAGAAGTTACACTTGGCCATTTGTAATTCATTTCAGACTGCTCACTCAGGACACAGTATAGTGGGTAATAAGGCACACGCTCAGCTTCCTGAGAACCAGCAGTTCAGCAACACACTTTGGGTATTAATGCATCAAATACTTGAGCAGGTGACCCAATAAAGCAAGGATTTGCCGACACCCTGGGACACATCAGGTTCCCATATCCCAGGTACCTGCACCAGGAGCTAAGGACACTTGCAGAGCTGGCTGCATTACAACTCACCAGGTTATTCTGGTGACTGGGAGATAACCAGGCAAGAAGTGGAAATTATCTGGTTGATGTTCATATTTAGAGAACACCAGAATCCATAGCCACTGTACCATGAACTAGTGCTAAATAATTTTTAAGTACCCTGAGATATTTCACTTCCTCCTCCCCACAATAAGATAACAATTTGCCATAGCACAGCACTAGAAAATCCCATCAGGGTATTTGGTCAAAACACTGTCACTATCAGGCAACTAGTTAGGCAGTCACCCAAAAATCCCACCAAACTCCTACCGGAGAACAGGAGGGCGCAGCAGTCAGCTTACAGCACTGAAATTTGGACTGATATAAGGTTTGTTTAAAAAAAAAACAAACAAAAAAACACCAACCCCCAAAAAACCAAACCCAAAACCCGGAATTTCTTAGTTTTGTTGTTGGTCCTTGAAGTAAAGCAAATTCAAAGAAAATAATATTTGAAGCTGGAAAAAAAATAATAAATCTCAACAAGAACCCACAAACGAACCTCTGCGTATTTCCTTAAAAGAAGGTTTTCCTCAGGATGAATCAAACATCAACCCTTTAATAAAATACTAATTTTTTGCTCCTCCATAGCAAGTATTTAGTGCAGCCAATTATCCTAAAAAGAAGGCCTTTGTGAAAATAAAGTGCTATTTGTTTCCTTTTATCCGTATTTCAATCCTTCAGTATAACCTTCACTTGAACACAGAAACGTGCAACTAGATTCTTCATACTGTTGTTGGAGAGGTTTCGCTTCTTCCCTCAGTTTTACATTAACATGTGTATCATATTTATATTCAGCACAATGTATTCCATTACACAGGAAATTTAAAGCATGTCATTGAGCATTTCAAACTGTGATCAACACCCATGCTCTAGTGCTTATCACATTTTAAGAGCATCTTGGTACACTGGGGATTTGTTTGCACTTAGAGGATTTTTAAATCACATGTATTTTGTATAATAAAAAGCAAATCTCAGAGAAAGGATAATTTTGCCACTAAGACAAGTTAACATGGATTTCCAGAAACGTCAGTGTGAGCCTGTTAAAGTTAGGTTTGCAGACAGTCGACTGAACATAATGCTTCTCGACTAAGGCATTTCCCAAAAATTTCACAATTTTCCCCACAAATAACCAACGAGATTAAAAAACAAGAATGACCATTTGGTTAAGTCTTGGCCTCTGGCTTCCTAGTTTTCTCAGGTCAGGGACAAAACCACAGAACCACATTTAAACGGATCCCACCTTCCTCAGGCAGACGCAGGCTCCCAACGGACCAGCGGGCTGGGAGCATGCACTGCCCCGGCAGGGTCCACAGGCGACGCTGGCTCACCCGGCCACTGGCTCACTCTCCCGGTGACTCCTGCCTGGCTTCGGCAATGTGCCGGCACGGGGTGAGCGCTGGTCGCAGGTACCGGGGGCTGCTGTACATCCTGATGATGTGTGGGGCCTGGATCCAGGTGTTGATCAGCTGGAAAGCAGCCAGGTCCAGCGTGGGGCTGTCGAAGGCAGCCAGCAAGTTCACAGGGGCGGCTTCCTTGAGGAACCGGGGCAGCGCCACGGCCTCAGGGAGGCTGGCGTTGCCCAGGAAGAAATGCATCAGCACCTGCTTGCGCAGGCAGTCCCTGAGGTACAGCACCAGGTCCTCCAGCCGCTCCACCAGGAACCGCTCGTCCCAGGCCTCCAAGGGCCCCTGCAGCAGCAGGGAGAAGAGGGCCGTCTTCAGCACGTAGGAGGAGAGCACCCGGCCCCACTGGGAGCAGAAGGGCTCCTCCAGGCCCTGCCCGCGGAGGTCCCGCAGGCCCTTGAGGATCTGCAGGCACTTGAGGTGGCAGGAGGAGGCCGGGGCCTGCTCCTTCAGCCAGCTCAGCAGCCGCTGGTCCCGCCGCGAGGCGCTGAGGCCCC